GGTAAAGCCTTCAGCTACAGCTCTAACCTGGTTAAGCACCGGAAAGTTCACACTGGAAATAGGCCTTATGAATGCAGGCAGTGTGGGAAAGCCTTCAGTGAAACCTTAATCCTTAGTCAGCACCAGAGAGTTCACACTGGGGAAAAGCCTTATGATTGCAACCATTGTGGAAAAGCTTTCCAATATAGCTCTGACCTTTCTAAGCACCAGAAAGGTCATACTGGAAAAAAGCCAAGTGCAGTGGACAAGGGGACACCTTTAGCCAACACTAGAGTCTTTCAGCATCAGAAAGGTCATGGTAGAAAAAGGCCTTAGGAGTATGGTCAGTGTGGGAAAGCACTAGCTGGGGCTTTCTTCTTGTTTTGTATAAAAGGACTCACTCTGTGGGAAATTTCTTTCTTGTTGTTGTTGTGATGCCTAGGATTAAACTCGGGTCCTTGTGTAGGTCAGGCAAGCACTCTACCACTGAGCTGCATCCCCAGCCTACATTAGAAAATTTCTGTGAGAAGCTCTGTGGGGAAGCCATCAGCCAAAAGTTGAAAATTGCATATGCTAACACCCTTTGTGGGGAGATTGCCTCTTGAGTGCCAGATATGTAGGGAGTAGGAGCTGTGTTATACTTTCTAACCCATCCAGGTCCTTTGTAAGATTATGTTACTGCCAGACACCATCTTACCTCTGCTAGCTGGCAGGCCTGCACAGCGTGTGCCAGCATTCTTGGGGGAGGCAGACTGTTCTTTAATTCCCTGGAGGAAGTGATGGGAGCCCTTTGCAGTCACCTCAGTTCTCACCTCTCCCCTATCCTCCTAGTGGTTTAGTCTTTGCCCTGACCTAGTTCACTCCAAAAGGGCCTGAACTGGAGTCCACTGAGGGTTTCTAGAGAAAATTTTGGGGGGCACCAGGGATCAAACTCAGGACCTTGAGCTTGTGAGGTAGGCATGGTGCCACTGAGCTAAATCCCCAGCCCTGGAGAAGATTTATATTCTTGACCCTTGTCAGGTTCCACATGACACTTAGAGTGGGTCTGTCCAGATTCTAGTCATCCACCCCTGGAACTACCTGCCTTCAGAGTCTGCTAATAAAGGCCTTCTTGTTGAAGCTCCCCCGTCCCCACACTACAGTTGAGCAGTGCACATGCTAGGTAAGTGATGTACCACTGAGCTATATCCCCAATTTTTGTTTTGATTTTAACACAGGTCTCAACAGAAAAAAAAAGAATCCCAGGACGGGGATTTAGCTCAGTGGTTCCGCCGCCTGCCTTGCAAGTGTAAGGACCTGAGTTCGATCCCCGGTACCAAAAAAAAAAAAAATCCTCATGGGTCTCACTAATTTGTCCAAGTTGATCTCAAACTTGTGATCCTCCTGCCTCATGCTTCCAAGTACCTGGGATCACAGGCTTGTGCCACTGTGTCTGGCTGGAGCCATCTGTTAATGGAGAGGCTCCACGTATTTTGTGTGGGGTGAGACAGGATGATGGATCTAACTGTGAAGAGGTGAAGGGCCTCCCTTATCCCGGAGGGGACAGTAGGAAGGGAATTAGCTCTCAGTACAGTAACCTAGTTTGCCTTTAGGTCTCGTTCAGTTCATGTGTCTGAACAAGGATGTTTGGTGTGGCAATCACCAGTTCCCAGGAATGTCCTCAACAGTGCTGAGGGCTTCTGTCTCCTGGGACTTGCCTGTGAATAAGGCCTCTGAAGTCCAGAATCTGTAGACAAGTGTCACTGGGTGTAAGATTTTATTTATTTATTTTTTAGACAGGATCTCACCATGTAGGCGGTCTTGAACTCACTATGTAGCCCAGGCTGGCCTCGAACTTGCAGCAATCCTTCTGCCTGAGCTTCTCAAGTACCAGGATTATAGGCACGTGCCACAATGCCCAGCAAAGATTTTTTTTTTGGTACCAGGGATCGAACTCAGGACCTTGCACTTGCAAGGCAGGTGCAGTGCCACTGAACTAAATCGCCGGCTTCCTGACAAAGATTTTTAATGGCCAAGTGTGGGTCCCTAAGAGGGGACAGAAACACTGGGTTTGAGGTCAGGGAATAAGGAAGACTAGTAAATGTAAGATATGCTGGTGGTGAGCCTGAGACAATCATACTAGCTCAAAATAGCTGGTTATATTCAATTCCATACCCAGTGATATCATATGGGCAGCTTTAAGTTGACCACAGTGGGGTAATTTATACCACAAAAATCAGTAAACAGCAAGTCTTTGAAAAACAAGACATGATTTGCAGGGTTTGTCAAATTTTCTCAGACAGTGACTTTGGCCACAGAAGAGATAGCTAAGCAGATCTAACATAGTCCCACACACCCTTATCTTGCAGTACCATAGTCCTAGGACAAGTGCAGAGGCAGGTTTAGAATGGGCAGTACGGCAGCATACTGGTCATTGGCAGAGCAGATTACCTAAAGACTTGGTGTATTTGTCAGTGTTCTGGGGCTACACCATGTCATGGCCATCCCTGCATGGGTGGGAATCCCAGTACTCACAGAAGGGAGGCCTCATGGCCCAAGCACGTGGCTTTTGTAGCTCAGCTAATAGCCATACAAGCACAGAATGGCCAAGGCCTTTGCCATCTGCTGTTTTTTTACTGTCACTGAGGTAGGGCTGTCCAAACCCATAAGGAACAAAGATGGTAGACTCACTCTACAGTTGCCCTATTGCTTGGTTTCCAAGAGGGTATTTAATGTCCTCTGACTCCATAATTTTTTTGTTTTGGTACCAAACTCAGGACCTTGGACTTGCAGGCAGGCATGGTGCCACTGAGCTAAATCCCTGGCCCTCACTTCATAAATGTTTGAAACCATTTTCTCCAAACTTCTACACAAAGCTGGCTCAGCAGAACATATGTCTATAAGGTCTGCACGTGTAGACATGTGGGCCAGGAGTTGTGACTATGAAGCGAGGCAGGCTGGAGGGAGCCCGGGGCTCTCCAGACAGGAAGTCCCCTTTGACTCACACCGATTACCTCACAGGTTGCAGAGTCAGTGGCACTCCGCAGCAGCTCCCACCAGAATGACTCCCCCCTCATACCCTAAAACAGGGAGACCACATGAGGAGCAGTCTCCAGGCAGGCTTGGGTCAGTGACCGTGTGGTAGGTTTATGTAAGTTCTCCCCAGGATCTTGAGGCTTTGGAGCAGAGCCTGATGTCAAGTCACCTTCTGGGTATAATAATTGTCTCCCACCAATGTGGAAGGACTGCTTGTAATGAGTTAAAGCCCTGTTGAGCTATGTGTGCCTCAAAGTGGGGCAGACATTTGTCATCAGAGCTCAGTCCCTTGTATCCTGCATGGTCACCCACAGGTAGGCATTTAAAGCAAACCAATCTCCTATTGGGAGAGTCCTTGACTTGAGGTTGGCCTTTGGTCTCCCCAACAGGGCTCTGTGCAAGGAAGGTGGGCTACTTTTTCTTTTTTGTTTTTTTTTGGTACTGGTGACTGAACTCAGGACCTTGTGCTTGCAAGCGCGGTGCCACTGAGCTAAATCCCCAGCCCTTTCCCTGCAGCTTTTGATACCATGACACGAACACACACAGTTCTGCCTTGATCAATACTCCTGCTCACTCCCCAGCCTAGAAAGGGGAATGGTGGTGAGAACCAAAGAAAGAAAGACAATGAGACTTGCATAATTTCAAAGCATACGGGGGGGCGGAGGTCAGGGCCTCAGAGCAGGCAAAGACCAAGACTCCGAGCTGCCACTATTTAGGGGTGCACACAGTGACTGGAGGGAGCATAGGGTGACTTGGGGTGGTGCTGATCTCACGTCTGATCCTGTGCAGATGCAGACCTCATGCTGATGAGGGCGGAAAGGACAGCGTGCCCACCTCAGTAAGGGGTGAGCTGGGCTGACAAGGAGCTGTCCCGACAAGGAGCTGTCCCCTCCCCAGGTGAGGGCTTTCTCTTGTGTCACCACTGGGTCACCTTGCCATTGAGCACCACAGCCTCACAGACTACTGAGGCCTCAGCTGTGACCGGAGGGAAAACGGAGTTGTTTCTGCATTCCATAGCTGCTCTCAGGCAAGGCAACATTGGGCCTTAGGCAGTTATAGTCATTCTTTAATTACGAGATGATTTCCCCCCAAAATTTATGTAGAATGCGCCCAACCAGCCCGTCCTTGAAGCAGGTTTGTTTTGCATCCTGCTCATAATAAATGTAAATGCCTTGCCCTAGTGTACAGTGCCAGTATTAACCTAGCTTCTCAAACATACCAGCTCATTGCTGCCAGGACATCTATGCTACAGTTCTGTCCAGGAGAAACACTGTCCTGGAGTTCCCTCCATGGAGAGGTCTTCCTGAACAGTCCTCTCAGGTAACGTCTCTCTCCATTTCCTTTCCCTCAAAGCTCTATCAGAATTCCATTATTTGGAATTATTCTGTTATCTTCCCTGTTTATGTGTTAAATCTCTGTATGCCCCATTACATGATGGTAACCTGTAGGTGCAGACCGCGCCTGTCACCTCACCTCATGGCTCTGTCTGCCACAGGCCCCATGTGGGGCCTGGCATCCAGTAGGATCTCAGGAAACACTTGCTAACCTGGCCTCTGCAGGAGCTGCGCTTGAGCCACCTTTGTACCCCACGGTCATTAGTGGTTTTTGTGGAAGTGGGAGGAGGAGGAGGAGGAGCATCACAGCAGGGTGATAGTGAGCTCCTTCCTTCCAGGAAAGACTCCCTCGTCAGATCGTACCCGTAGTGGATGCCTCTACGCTTAAGGAAGGAAGCTGAGTCTACTTATTTATTTAGCCAATGCCATTTTAACAGTGAGGGTGTATTGGAGACTGAACTAGTGATCTTCGTGCTTTTTTTTTGGCAGGGTCTCTATGCAGTTCAGACTGGCTTTGAGCTCACTATGTAGCCCAGGCTGGCGTCAAACTTGTGGTGATCCTCCTGCCTCAGCCTCCCCAGTGCTGGGATTACAGGCATGTGCCACCACACCTAGCTTGGAGACTGAACTAGTACAGCAGTAAACAAAATACACAGGAGACCTCTCCAGTCAGACTGACATTCTAGTACAGAGACAAATTCCTCACAAAGAATTGCCAGACATGGTAGTGCAGGCCTGTAATTCCAGCACTCTGGGAGGGTAAGGCAGGAGGATCACAACTTTGACCACAGCCTGGGTAACTTTAAAAAATTTTAAATGGGGTAGGGGGCCAGGCTGGGGATGTAGTTCAGTGCAAAGGCCCTGAGTTCAATCTGCAGTACTGAAAAAATAACCACACAAATATAAGTTGCTTTCAGCCATGATGAAATAACAAAGGTCAGATTTACCCTTCCACCTAAAGGAATAAAACAGCTAGACAAAGAATAAGAAACAGATTTTTAAACACTGGAGAGCCAAGAACCTAGACCTAGATTAACTAAAACAAAATTTAAAACTGAAGAACAAAGTTGAAGGACTTCCACCATCTGATTCCAATAATTTTTATAAAGCTACAAGAATCAATACATTGTAGCCCTGGTGTGGAGAGAGACGAAATGGGATGTGGGCATGGTGGCACATGCTATAATGGGAGCCCGAGACAGAACTGCAAGTTCAAGGCCAGCCTGGGGAACTTAGTGAGATCCAGTCTCACAATAAAGGTGCTGGTGATGTAGGTCAGTGGTAGAGTGCTTGCCTAGTATGTGGGCAGCCCTGGGTTCATATGTAATAATTTGTTTTTCAGCTAAGTGGTAAAGGCCATTTTACACAAAAATTATCCCAGACCAGTAAGCAGTCAGTAAATACTGATGCTATTTTATTAACATTATTAACTTATCACAGCTTTTTTTTTTGGTATTTTGAGACAGTCTCACTGTATAGGTCCAGCTGCTTTTGAACTCACTATGTAGCCTCAGGCCTCAAACTTCCAGTGATCCTTCTGACTCAGCCTCCTGAGCACTGGGATTATCAGTGTGTGCCACCATGCCTGCCAATCATACGTAGTTTTCTTCTTGATCAGTATTTGTTTTTCTAGGCCATGACACATGGGTAAGTATGGCACAGGGTTACATATGCACAGAACACTGGAGAATAATGGTGTGGGCCAGTGGAGGGAACCTGTGGCATGTGTGACTCAACAGGCTGTTTGTGTCACTGAAGGCACCAAAAGGTCCGTCGTTGGTGTGGGCATCAGTTGAGTGTCTTGTGGCACAGGGCATCAGAGTGGCCTGAGCTGGAAACAGAGAAATCTGGAGGAAGAGACTAAAGCTTCGACGGCTTTCAGAGTTGGATTTCAGCAAAGGAAGTTGGGAACCAAAAGATAACACTCTTTGCATGCTCAGCGGCAGGACTGAGACTGCAGAGGGGCTGGCTCTTTCCACAGCTTCACGAGAGCCTAAAGCCTAAATGCTGCTGTGAATTCCCTTACTTTAAGACGATGGCATCTGCAATTTTGAGTATTTTACAGGTCCTGAGGGGAGCCTTGAAATCAAGTGTGATTTCACATCTGTATTTCCAGGCTAGGCCTGGTGGCACGTGCCTGTAATCCCAGCACTCACGAAGCTGAGGCAGGAGGATTATCAGGAGTTCAAGGTCAGCCTGGTCTACAAAATGAGTTCAAGGCCAAATTGAACTACATGGTGAGACCCTGTCTCAGAAGAAAAAAAATCTGTATTTCCCGCAGGGCCTTAATTAGAAAAAGGGCCTGAGGGGTGTAGACAGACCAGATTTTAAGAGCTATTAGTGATAGGGCTGAAAGCAATATGGGCTGGAGACAGGGGACAAAAACAGGGAGTGAGGTGCTTGTAATGCCTGTGACAAAATTTTTTAGTGACAAATTGGAAGATGGCTGGAACCTTGAGAGAACCAGGGACTGTCAGGCTGTCTCTGGCAAGAAGTGTGCAGGCAAAGGTGCTGAGCAGATTTCTCACAATGCAGACCGCATCATTGGACTTCTGGGCAGGCAAGTAAGTCTGTGTGGGCCGTCCTGGAACCACGTGGAAATCCCTCCCAGCAGGCTGCTCTCCACGGAGCACACGTGAAGACAACAGCATGTATGGGAGCAAGTGCTGGGCAGGGAAGGAATTCCAGGCTTTGGTCCAGCAGCAACTGTACTCAGAGAAAGGAAGGATGATGCTTGGAGGACAGACAAGCAGCACAGGAGCCAGAGGAAACCAGGAGCTTCAAAGAAAAGGAGGCATGGCTACCGTCCTGGATGCCAGGGCGAAAAAGGGCACAGCCCGTGCCAAGGGTCCTCCCTAGCCTTGCACTCACCAGGACTGGTCTTTCATGGTCTCTCCCTGATGGCTCCGCCCACCGAACCTCGGCCCTCCCGCAGAGGGGTGCGCGTTCTCCTGGCCCGGCCTTGGTCCCCAAGAGTCCCTGGGCGCTTTTCCCACTCGGAGGCACACGGAGGCCCCGAGTGCGACGTCGCCAGCCATCACCACTAACGGAGACGGAGAGTGGAAGGAGCCCAAGGTTTCACGCCCTGGGACGCGGCCTCATGGTTCTCAGCCCTGATGGGAGGCTGCAGTGTCTTGATCCTGATTTCTCCTGTCCCGAAATGGCCGGGCACCAGAATCCAGGCTGGCTGCTGTATAGGTGGCTCTCATTTCTGGAACTTTATGGGAAGAGTTCCGAAGGCTGTCACGACATATTGTGTGTAAATTATGTACCTGAAGGTGAGGAGATGGGAATGTTCAGGGACCTCCATCTCCATTAGTCTGGTGGAAACAGCAGTTACCTTGGAAGGGCAGGCTAAGGAGCTGACGGAGGTGGGAGCCACGGCAGGCTCTCAGGGAGGAGGAAGGAAGTGGTGCTCAAGCACGCCCGGGGGTAGGGGTGGGGGTGAGGTGGAGGCGGAAAGATCAGCTGCGCGACTGCTGCCCAGGTGTGGCTGGACAGAGGGCCGGCTGCCTATGGAGTGGAAGCCAGGATTGGCCTCTGCTCGTGCCTAAGTTGGGCTGACTAGGTTACGTGACGTGAATCATGAGATAAGGTTGACCCTAGGTTTTGGGGGGGTTTTGTTTTGTTTTTGAGACAGGATCTCACCATGTGGTTCCCCAGCCCACCAAGTGTGTTTTAACACAATAAGCTGGATAGTCAAAATTAACTAGCACAGGGCTGAGGATTTAGTTCAGTGGTTCCACCGCCTACCTTGCAAGTGCAAGGTGCCAAGTTCGATCCCCGGTACCAAAAAATAAAAATAAAAAAATAACCAGCACATCATCTGGATGTGGTGGCATGCACCTGTAATTCTAGCACTCAGGAGGCTGAGGCAGAGGATTTCAAGTTCAAGCCAGCCTGGGCTATATAGCAAGACTTTGACTCAAAAAAACAAAAACAAAAATAGGTTAACAGACACAAGACCCCAGGGAGATATGCTATCATGTCTGGCTCCAAAATTTTAAAATCAAAAGGGCCCACAGTCAGGCAGCTGCTCTATTGATGTCATACCCCTTGTTTACCAAGCTCCTGCTTATATAGGGCTCTAAGTTATACAACAGAAAGGAAAAGCAATTCCAGAATCGTGGAAAGAGTTACGTGCTTGTGTGCACCCACTGCCTGCCTATCAGGAGCTCTGAGAATGTCAGCAAACACCTCCTCGCCATAGTGAAGGACATCTCTGCTGTGGGAATGTCTGTCACACAGCCTCAGCACTGCAGAGGGCCCTGCAGGACCGCTAAACTGTGGCCCACCAAGGCATCAGCTTGGCTAGGGCTCTGAGGAATGCTCCCCTCATAGCTGTTACTGCACAGGTGGGAACCCAAGATGGAAGACAGCTCATGGGCTTGAGCGTGGCTGGTATGAGGTGCGGGATTTCTAGAGTCACAGCATGGGCTTCATGATTACACTTCTGTTTGCCACCAAGCAAGTTTGTTGCTCTTTAGGGGTAGGGAAACAGCATGGTGGAGTTAATATGGATCTTCTTCTCCAAAAAGATCTCAATTTTTTAGTGGTGTTTGCTTTTCTATATGTTGAAAACCATTTCTAAAAACATTTCAATACAAACTCACTCTGCCAAAATTGCCAGTGTTGGTGACGTGTGCCTTTAATCCCAGCACTCTGGGAGGCTGAAGCTGGTGAATCCCAAACTTGAGACCAGCCTGGGCAACTTGGTAATTTGGTGAGACCCTGCCTCAAAATACAAAATAAAGATGGCCGGGAATGCAGCTCAGTGCAGAGGCCCTGGGTTCCGTCTCCAGGAGGGCAGTGGTGGTCGTGGCCATGGCGGATCTTCCCCTATGCTTTGGTTCAGTCTCTGGGTCATCTGTACTCACAGTGTGGGATGAATACGAACACAGACTCAGGGACACTCAGGCCTAGGGAGAGGGGTCTACTTCCTTTCCTCTGCTGCCCCCTCCTCCCTCCCCAGGTCAGCTGATGATGGGCCCCAGGTCTGGGCCCAACATGGGTCTTGCAGAGGAACTCTACACTTGACTGATGTCCCCAGGACCTGACAGTGTGCAGACCGTGCCTATTGACAGCAAGAGATATATTTCATCTCCGTCAAGTGTGCAGTAAGTGTTAACATGCACATGGACCTAGGACCAGGATAGTTACTGATTGAAGCTGGAATTCTGAAGAAAGGTGAGACTGAAGAAAGGCAACAGGTGTTAGTTTGCATTAGAGGCTGGGAAGACTTCTCACAAGGAAATCACCTAGGAGTGACCCCCGGTAGGAAGGAGCTGCATGAAGCCTGCAGCCCGTGTCGCGGGAGAGAAGCAGGACTTGGCCTAGCAACATGGGGCCCCATAGAAGTCCTGAGATGAGCTCACTTCACCATGGAGGCCAGGGCTGGGGCTGATTTCAGAAGGACACATGCTCAGCCTCTTCGCTGCTGGTGAGATAGGAGGTAGGGCATGGCAAAGCTGGCTGGGGAAATAAGCAGGACCTGTTAAATTACAAGATTCCAGGACAGTGCCAAATAATTTGCAGGACCCTTGTATGTAGAACTTCTTGCCAAAGATGTGGACAAGAGGCAGGAGGCCAGGAGGAACCCACTGTTGTGACTCAAGGCAGGGCACCTCTAGTCTCCTGGACCCAAGGTGTACTTTCACATTTGCTTCTTTTCTGCTTTCCTCTCTTGTTCAGCCCAAGTTCACTCTGCAGAGCCACTTTCTCCCTTACCCTGTCACCCCTCACTTTTCAAATAAACTTTTTTTTTTGGTACTGGGCATCAAACTCAGGACCTTGCACTTTCGAGGCAGGCTGCAGAACCACTGAGCTAAATCCCCGGCCCTCAAATAAACATTTGGCACTGTTTTTGGCTCGTCTTGTTCAATTCTTTGTTCGAGGCAAGAAGGACCTGGAACAAGTTTAACTGGTGAGCCATTTCTAAAGGAACTACCTGTTAACAGTGGGGTCCGGGGCTCATCAGTGAGTGCGATACACAAGACTGCTGGGCCCCAGGAGGCTCTATCCTGGATGCTCCTGGGAGACGGTGGGTGTGTCAGTGTGCAGGAGAGGTCTACAAGTCAGGCAGAACTTTCTTCAGAGCATTTGCACCCAACCCTAAACTGGGCATGATACACGCTTGTAATCCTAGCTATTCAGGAGGCTGAGGCAGGTGGATAACCTGGATAATTTAGCAAGACCCAGTTTCAAAACAGGCTACAGGTGTATCTCAGTGGCAGACTGCTTATGGCACAAGGTCCTGGGTTCAATTGCTAATACTGGGGGGGAAAAAAAAAGATTAGATAGGTAGATTACTCTACTTAGCTTCCACCAAAGTAAAGTCATTTACAGTATTAGTTGGTTCCAGAAAGACCACAGACCACTTCCAGGCACAAATGGACCTAGGGTTCCATGAGATCAAAAGGACTGTCTCCTGCTGCTTTAATGTGTTTTCTGTTGTTAAAATACGCTGGTTGGTTTCCCGCAAGCAGAAAGACCCGAGTTTGATTCCCCGGTACCAAAAAAAAAAAAAAAGCAAAATAAAGTAAAATACAGTGGTTGGGTGCTTTATAAAGAGTTGGGTTTTTTTGCTAGGGATTTAGCTCAGTGGTTCTGCCACTTGCCTTGCAAGTGCGAGGACCTGAGTTACCAAAAAAAAGAGTTGTTTTTCAGTATTGGAGATTGAACCCAGGGAACACTGAGCTATATCCCAGCCCTATTTTTTGAGATTGGGTTTCACCAAGTTGCCCAGGCTGGCCTTCAATTTGGGATTCTCCTGCCTCAAGTTCCTGAGTAGCTAGGATCACAGGCATAGGCCACTATGCTTGGCCCGAAGAGGTCTGTTCAGCTCACAGTTTGGAAGGCTGCAAGTCCCAGACAGGGCAGCCCCATCTGTCTGGGCTCCGGGCCCATATGCATGTCATGGTACGCAGGAGAAATCATATATGGTAAGGCAGGAAGTGATAGCATGGCCAGTTCTCACTCTTCCTGTTGCAACTCACTGTGAGAACCAGCTCACTACACAAGGCCCACATTAATCCCTTCGGAGAACAAGGCCACAATGACCTAACGCCCTCCCACTAGGCCCCACCTCAGTAACCCTACACACAAACCCTTGGGCGACAACCTACAACTGACTGTGGCCATCACTTAGCTGGCTCTTTGGTTTGGTTTACAGGATGTCCTCTCTTCACAGAGGAAAGATGAGGCTAGGCATGGTGGTGCATGCCTATAACCCCAGCACTCAGGAGGCTGGGGCAGGGGGGATTCTGTGTGTTTGAGGCCAGCCTGGACTACATAGTGAGAACTTGTCTCAAAAAAACCCAAAACCAAACAAATAAATGAGGAAAGATGGCCGCCAAATCTTATCTTTTGGGACAAGACAGCCCTCTGGTCACATTCTGGCAAGTCCTTTGGCTGATTCTTATTAGCATGCTTCATGTCACCCACCACCCCATGACTTCCCGGTGACTACTTACACCAGCCACAGGCACGGGCACTGAACACCTGACAAAGAAGGTGAGTGGAACCAGGTGCAGTGGTGCACAACAGTAACCCTAGCACAGCATCGACACTGCTGGGTCACAGAAGCCACATCCCACAAGGGCAGGGTTTTCTGGCTCAGTCCCAGCACCATGGTGAAGAGTCAGAGCCCAACACCAGACTGGCTGTGAGCACAGCGGCTCTCTGCCATCCTGCAGTCCCCACCAAGGCAGACAAGAGCCCAGGAACCCAGGAAAGTGACTCCCTCTACTGCCAGTAACAGAGCCTGGTTCAGATCCCCACCCCCTACACACACACACACACACACGCACGCACGCACGCACGGACACACACACACACACACACACACAGAGGAATCAGAACCCCAACTACAAAATGTGGCTTAAACAAGGCTTTTATTACCACATTTCCCAAGCAGCAGGAAGTAGCAACTGCCATGGCAGGACAACGACCACAAGCGGTGTTGAGTGTCCATGAAGATGTCAGGCAAGATCTCGAAGCTTCCAAGAGGATGGCTTGGCTCCTCTTGGCCAGCACAGTCCTGTCCATGCCTCCCAGGAACAGGGGGGCTGTCATGCGCTCCAACGTTCGCAATTCCTTCCTATGGGGGGCACGGGGCCGGTTTACCTGGACACAGAGGGCGACTGACATGCACAGCGGGGACCTGCCTAATGCTGCAGGTGGGCGGCTTGTCAGAGGCTGGCAGTGGTGTGACAGCAGCTTGGGCAGGCAGAGTGCAGCGTGGCCCAAAGCGTCCCGTGCAGGCAGCATGCGCGGAATCTCCCAGGTCTGTTGGAGTGCCGGGTGGTGTCTGGAGGTCAGAGGCCTCACTTCTCTCAGATGGCGCCTCACGAAGGCTGCTTCTCCCCACCTTTCCAGGACAAGCTTTCTCCTGGTGAGCCAGCTGCTAGTCGCTGACGGCTTCTCCGCCTGCGCTGGCCTTCGGAGGGCTCTGCCGTATGAATTTTCCGGTGCTGGTGCAGGGTAGAGCTGTGCTTGAAGGCTTTCCCACATTCAGTGCACGTGTAGGCCCGCTCCCCGGTGTGGAACTGCTGGTGCCGGTTGCGGTAGGAGCGGGTGGTGAAGGTTTTCCCACACAGGCTGCAACCGTACGGTCGCTCTCCAGTGTGGACCTTCCAGTGCTGGTACAGGCCCGAGCGGGTCACATAGGTTTTCCCACAATGCTCACACACAAAGGGCCTCTCTCCAGTGTGCACTCTCTGGTGAAGAACAAAGCTCTTGTTGTACTTGAAGAACTTTCCACACTCCCTGCACTCGTAGGGCCTTTCTCTAAGGTGGACCTTCCGATGCCGAATGAGGGTGGAGAGCACACTGAAGGCCTTGCCGCACCTGCTGCACTCATATGGCCGCTCTCCAGTGTGAGTCCTCTCATGCAGCGCCAAGGCATCTTTGCGGCTGAAGGTCTTCCCACATTCGCTGCACTGGAAAGGGCGAATGCCCATGTGGATCTTCTGGTGCTTCCTCAGTTTGGATGCATAGTTGAAGGCTTTCCCACACTCACCACACACATGGGCATCTTCTTCATGGAGGTCTTTCTGGTCATCAGGAAGGGCCGAGTTCTCGGTGGGGGCACTTCCGCCTACTGGGCATCGGGAATGTCTCTCTTCAGGGTGGGTTATCAGGTGGTTGAGAAGAGCAAACGCCTTCAGGAAGCTTTCTCTGCAGTTACTGCACTTAAAGGGCTTCTGTGTGGCATGGACACCCTGTGACTTTTGACTTGGGTTAGGGAGGGCTGGCCTGTGCTCAGGGCTCCCTCGTGCCTTCCCCTCACTGAGAGGGGCTTGAGGCTGGAGGCCTTTAGTGGCTGGGCTGTCACCCTGCTCTCCACACGAGCAGGGCTGTCCTCCCACATGGACTCCACAACTCTTCACTTGCTTGGGAGGAGCTTCTTCATCCTTCACTCTACACAAGCAACCTGAAAGCAAAGAAGTCAGTTTCTGGAGTTGGACTACAGGAAGGAAGTACGTGCATCCCCCGTGCAGGAAGGGCTCCATGGAATTGCAGGGTGGTCACACAGAAAGATCTGGATGAGGATGTGCTGAGCCAGCAAACGTGGGCTCTACCAAGCACAGAGTAGGAATGACTTAAACTCAGATGAGGACACAAAAGCAGAGCTAGGCGTGGTGGTGCACGCTTGTAATCCCAGCACTCTGGAAGGCTGAGGCAGGAACATTGCAAGTCGGAGCCCAGCCCGGGCAACTTGCCAAGATTGTCTCAAAATAAGAAAGAACTGGGATGCAGCTCAATGAGAAAGCTCTGGATATAATCCTCAGTACCCAACAAACAGATGGGGTGCAGTACAGGGAAGAGGGCTGGGGTCTCTGAGAGTCCTCTACAGAGGATTTTAGCAGGGACTCAGTAGCTCCTGTCAGCTGAGCACTGTGAAGAGGTTTAGTTCTAGCAAAATCTGACTGTAAAATAGTAGCTGGTGCTCAAGAACTGTTTAACCATCAGCTAGTGTTCAATACTATTTAAAGACAGGGCCGGGATTTAGCTCAGTGCTGCCTGCCTGGCAAGCACAAGGTCCCAGGTTCGATGCCCGGTACGAAAAAAAAAACAAAAAACAAAAACGGACTGTCTAAAGATATGTGCACATCTGACATTACACACAGAACGGTCACTAGTGAGTGCACAGCCTTGCCCAGGAACAGAGAAGGGGAACCTGAGGCACAGGCAGAGGTGGCCCTCCAGAGCCTGAGAGTCACGGAATAGAGATGGGAGGATGCAGCATAAAGAGGGAGGAGGTGGGAAGGAAGCACAGTGCCTGAGCACAACACCAAACCCAGTGTGCACAGGCACCCGGCCTCACGAGCCTCTCTGACACCCAGGTCCACACTCCACGCCCAGTGCTGGTGTAGGCCTGAGTGGGCCTCACGGGGTTTTCTCTCAATGCTCGCACACAAAGGGCCTCTCTCCACTGTGCACTCTGGTGAAGAACAAAGCTCTTGTACTTGAAGAACTTCCTGCACTCATCGGGCCTCTCTCCAAGGAGACCTCTGGCCTCTGCTGTGCCAACCATGTCACATCTACCCAATGACACACCAGGGCTCAACATCCCCATAAAGGTCAGTCAACATATGTGACGTGTGTGTCTGTGTGTGGTACTGGGGACTGAACTAGTGCCTTTTTTCTTTTCTTTTTCTTTCTTTTTTGAGGCAAGGTCTCTCTAAGTAGCTCAGGCTGGGCTTGAACTCACTATGTAGCCCAGGCTGGCTTTGAACTTCCAGATCCTCCTGCCTCAGCCTCCTGAGTTCTGAGATTACAGGCATGCGCCACCACACCCAGCGAACCTAGTGCCTTCAATACACTAGACATGTGCTCTACCACTGAGCTACATCCTAGCCTGTTTTAAGACATGGTCTCACTACATTGTCTGTGCTGGCCTTGAACCGGCCATCCTTTTGCAACAACATCCTGCAACAGCCTCCCGAGTAATGGGATTATAGGTGTGTACCACCATGCCTGTTTCTTTGTGAAAAAACGTTTTAGGGCCAGGGATTTAGCTCAGTGGTTCCGCCACCCTCCTTGCAAGCACAAGGTCCTGAGTTTGATCCCCAGTACCCAGCCCCCAGAAAGTTTTAATTTTAAAACAGGGTCTCAGCTAGGCATAGTGGTGCACAACTGTAATCCCAGAACTGTGGAAGATTGAGCAAAAGGATCCAAGTTTGAGTCCAGCTTGGGCAACTTAGTCCCTTAGACCTTACCTCAAAAATTGAAAAAAACCAACAAAACAATTGAGGTTCAATTCCCCAGCACCAGGGGGTAAAAAAAGGGTAAAATTTACACATATTTTTACCAAAAAAACCACCTCTCTTACAAAGCAAAATTGACATAACTGACCTAAGAAAGACAATTTAACAGTTGTTGGAGACTTCAGTTTTCCATTTTCAATAATGGGTAAACCATGAAGAAGAAAATTAATAAGAACACAGCAGCTTGGTCAACAATAGAAAACAACTAGACTGACAACATCTATAGAACATGCCAACTACCCACAGTAGGTCCACAATCCTTCACATATTTGCACACGTGTGGAATGGTCCCAAGAAAATACTATTTGTTAGGACCTACAATCTTTAACAGACTTCAAAGGACTGAAATCATACAAAGTATATTCTTTGCCCACAAAAGAATTAAAACAGAAATAAACAGAAATTTGTGGAATTTAAACAAAACACTCCTAAATAACCAAGGTAAAAGAAAAAAGTCACACAAAGTTACAAAGCACTTCGAGATAAATGAAAATGAAAATACAACACACCAAAAGTTACAGTACAGAAAAAGCAACAGAGGGAATAGAATACAAAATACTCATATTTCTTCTTTTTGCAGTGCTGGGGATTGAACCCAGAGCCTCACACATGCTAAGCAAGTACTTTGCCACTGAGCTAAATCCTCAGCCCCAAATACCCGTATTTAAAAAGATCTTGCCAGTCTTATTGGCTCATGCCTGCCTGGGCTACACTGAGACCATGTCTCAAACCAAAAAAGAAAGGTGTGGTGGCACATGCCGAATCCCTGCACTCAGGCCTAAGGCAGGAAGACAAAGAGGGCTACAGAGCTAAATAGATTAATAAATACAAAAAAGATAAAAGATCTCAAAGCAATTAACTACACCCCAAAGAACAAGAAAAGTAACCAAACCCAAAGCTAGTAGAAGGAAGGGCATAATGATTACAGTAGAAATACATGAAATACAGATTAAAAAAATAAAATCACATAGGGAGGGGAGAGAGCTTGAGAGGGGGAATGAGATAAAATAAAATAAAATAAAATATATTAAAAAATAAATAAAATCAACAAAACAAAAATTTGGTCTTCAGAAAAGATCAACAAGGTGATAAACCTTTACCTAGATCAGTGGTGGTGAATCTACCTACGGCACCCGCCACAGTGGGCTGTTTGCATCATTGAAAGCTATCACTGACCTAGATGATATGAGAGAGGAAGGAAGGAGAGAGGGAGAGGTGTTAATCTACTACAAATGGGAATTCTTTCACCTGGCCAAACTTGAACCTAGAGTCACCACAAAAGCAGTGGCTGGGGAGTTTGCACAAGGTGCTCATTGGCATCCAAAGAATGAAGCACTAGAGCCTAGGGTGATTAGTCCAGTGTTTATAGTGCCTAAAGTATACCTCAGGAGGAGGCAAGAGAAAGAGATCTTTACCTAGATATGTCCACAGTGAGGAAGTCAGGATATGGAGGTTCTATCAGCATTCTGAACTTAGGCCAGTGGTGGTGAACCTATGGCAGATACTGCAGTGAGCTGTTTGGATCACTGACAGCTCTAAAAGGCTTGCCATCACTGACTCAGATTAAGGGGCAGGGCCAGTTTCCGTCAGTGTTTTGGCAACAACTTAAATACCTTTGTCAGTTCCTGGGAAGGTCAAGGTCTTGGCTTGGGCTGAAACCTGCTGGGAAAACCTGCGGCTGGCTGGGCTGGCTGGGCTGGCTGGGTGGGTGTCACAATGGTCAAGGCACTCTGTTCTTCTGTCAGGGAACAAACTACCAAAACTGACTGAAGAAGAATAAAAAATATAAATAAACTTCAACAATTTTTGTTGTGGTTGTTTAAAAAAAATCCCCCCTCAACACAAAAAAAGCCCAGGCCCACATGGTTTCAGTGGTGAATGCTAACAATACTGAAGTAGGAATACCAACACTTCACCAGGAACATTTCCCACCTGATCACTGAAATCAAAATTACTCTCACACTTAAAATTATCCTCATATGTTATAAGAAAACTATACTACTGATAGATTCCATGAATACAGATGTGAAAATTCTCAAAATTCTAGCAATCTAAATCCAGAAACATAAAAAGTGTTATAAGTCATGACAGAAGGAATTGATTCTATTAATACAAAGCTGAATATATGAAAATCAATTACTGTAATATACCAATTCATAAAAGAAAGGGCAAAAACCACATGATTATTTCAACAGATATAGGAAAAGTATTTGACAAAATCGATTGACCTTTCATGACAAATGTACTCAACTAAGTAGGAAAGGAAGCGAGCTTCCTCATATGAAATGGGCACCTGCAAAACACAAACAGCTAACATCATGCTTTTTGGGTTTTTTGGCACCCAGGATAGAGCTCAGGACCTTGTGCTTGCCAGGAAGGCACAGGACCACTGAGCTACATCCTGGCCCACATCATGCTTAACAGTGAAAAACTGAATGCTTTTCCCTTAAAGCTAAGATCAAAACAAGGATATCTACTCCAGCATTTCTATGTCAGTAAGGCAAAGGAAGAAGTAAAACTACCTCTAGTCAAGGATGACAGGATCCTATAAAAAGAACACACCACAGAATCCACTACACAACTATTAGAACTAAAAATTCAATAAGGTTTCAGGATATAAGATAAATACATAAAAACCAATGTATTTCTACAGCCAGCAAGAAATAATCCAAAAGAAAATTAAGAAAATAGCCAGGCATGGTGGCGCATGCCTGTAATCCTAACACTTGGGAGGCTGAGGCAGGAGTATCTCTGTGAGTTCGAGGCCAGCCTGGGCTACATAGTAAGACCCTGTCTCAAAAAACAAGAGATAACAGGGCCAGGGATTTAGCTCAGTGGTTCTGCCACTTGCTGCACAAGCACAAGGACCCGAGTTCAATCCCTGGTACAAAAAAAAAAAAAAGAAAAACCCAAGAGAAAACAAAAGGGCAATCTCAGCACTCAGGAGGCAGAGCAGGATTGTGGAGTGTGGAGAGTTCAAGGCCAGCCTGAACCACACAGTGAGACCCTGTCTCAAAAAAAGGGGGGTGCGGTGGGCTGGGGATGTAGCCCAGTGCAAAGGCCCTGTGTTTAATCCCCAGTACCACACATAACACACACACACACACACACACACACACACACATTAGACATTTTATTCACTTAAGTACTAGTGTTGAAAAAAAATTAAAAAGATACATAAATGGAAAGACATACCGTATTTGATCTAAAAGACCTAAGATGGCAATAGTGCCTGCCCCCAGTGGTCTATGGATTCAGTCATGGTTCAAGTCTGGTCCAGGGAGGGCCCTGTAAAATATCTTCTGGAGGAAGAAGGCAAAATCTAGAGCACACAGGAGTCATGTCCTAGCACTGTCACAGGACCAGGGAGGCAGAGCTGAATGGAATTTAGGGGCCAAACTGTGAAATTACTGACCCACAAATATTGCTCCATTAGGGAAAACAGGTGTTTGGGCTGCTGATTGGGTTGCTCTGAGAGAGGCTGCGGAGGCGCACAGCCGGGTCCCAGCACCCACAATACTTACCGCAGGGAACCAGAAGGAGCTTCGGTGTGGACAAAGCCTTCTCCAGGGAAAGAGGTAGAGGTGGTAAGCGAGGAGGACTTACCCAGCGAGCTAATGAGAGCAAAATTCTCCAGCATCACGTCACGGTACAGGCTCCTCTGGGCCACAGTGAGAAGACCCCACTCCTCCTGGGAGAAATGCAGGGCCACATCCTCGAATATCACCAAGCCCTGCAATGAGTTTAGCCGACATGAGGTCAACAGTGGGCAGAAAACAACCAGATATGGACAGACGGAGCATGCAGGCCCTCGACCTGTGTTTCAGGGCCCTGCAGTCACCCACTGAGTTTCTCTCCCTAAGGGTCCCACCGTCCTCCACCGCACACCCCTTCGTCCCTCCCTTTCCCCAGATCCCTTACCTCGCAGGGACAATGGGGCCCTTGGTGTCCCTGGTGTCTCTGGTGTTGCTATGGACACTGACTCCAGCCAGGCAACCCGGGCTGGGACAGACAGACGCCATCAACTGATGCGCTGGGCCCAGCAGGGTCCCGTCCTAGCTCCCGCCTGCCGGGTCCCTCCTTCGCCCGCGCCTGAGCGCCCTCCCCGCCGGACCCGGCGCACCGCGCTCACCTGCGCCGCGTCGGCCATGGGGCCTGCGCGCCGGGCGGGTCGCGCGATCCGGCCCAGCCACCGCCGATGGCGAAGGCCGGACCCCGCGCCTCCCCGAGCCTTGCGGCGCCGTTCTGAGCGCGCCCCCGAGTCTCGGGCAGATGGAATCCTCACGGCGCCCGCAGAGGCGCGGTGTCCCGGCCTCCTCCCGGCCGGGGCAACCTATGACGCAGTCCCTGGTACCCACCACCCACAGCTGACAGAAACCGCCCCCAGCGCCGGAAGTCCCGCAGAGCTCCTACTGCCGGTGCCTAACGTCACTTCCCCCCTCCCCCCGCACTGGATGAGCGCTTGACTGTCGCCAAGGTGACAGTGGAAGGACCGTCTAGAGGCCGGAGGCCGCGCGAACTACACTTCCCATAAAGCATCTCGGCTCGGGTCCGTACAGATGGGCCAATGATGGCTCAGGAGGGTTGTTCCCGGCGGCGGGATTTCCGGCGTCGACTTTCCCCTGTGGCTTTCGACCCACGAAAGTCGTAGGGGTCCCGGTGTCTGTTCTCCGATCGCGTCCAGGAGGCACCCCGGGCTCCGGGAGGCCCTAGTAGGGAAGGCTTGAGTCGAGGGAGTTACGCCTCCCGGCCTTAGGCGCGCCCTGGCCGCGTCGAATGTCCTCCCCGAGCTCCGCTGTGCTTGGTCCAGGGTCCCACCGCAGAGGCTCGTCTGGGGTGCGTCCTCCTCGCGTCTTGTCGCCCTTAGGGAGCAGGAGCCGGGGGCTCGGAAAGGAGTGTAGCTCGGTGTGCGCCAGACCTGGGGTCGAGCGTCATGGCCATTTCAGTGTGTAGCTGGGGATTGTGGGTGTCAGGGGAGATCGCACCCAGTCTCGAGTGCACTGGGTTCGGTGTTCCGCAGCCACCACTGGCTTCCTCATCCTCCAAACCAGTGTTGCCGTTGGTGTTCGCAGGAAGGCCGTACCCCCTCCTCTCCCAGGCAGCTGCGTTAGCGTCCTCTCACATTCTACCCAGGGGTCGCGGGTGGCCAAGGTCTGGTGTCAGAAGTCTAAAATCTTAACAGCCAGTACTGTCCAGCTCAGTCCCTTCCTCTGAAATGCCAGGCACTGCCTATCTGGATATGGTTGGTTGTGGGGCCACTGGGCTCTTCCTAGGAGCCTTCGCTAGACATTGTGCAGTCCATGGTTTTCGTAAGCATGGATTATTCTCACCACTGAAGTCTGTCGTGGGGTGACGGCCTCTCCGGGTAGAGTTTTATAAACCAAATGTCCTCCACAAGACTGGTGGCTCTACGTATATTTCATCACCAGTCATGACAAAATGAACTCAAAACCAGCTGTAGTGGCTGGGAATGGTGGTGGATGCCTGTAATTCTAGTACACTGGGAGGCTGAGGCAGGAAGTTTGAGCCCAGCCAGGGCAATGGAGCAAGATCCTATATAATTTTTAAAAAGCCAGGTGTGGTGGTGCACACACACCTGTAATCCCTGCACTGAGGAGGCCGAGGCAGGAGGATCCCGTGAGTTAAGGGCCAGTTTGGGCTACAAGGCTGCCCTGAACTGCATAGCCAGAACCTGTCTCATAAAATAAAGAGGCGGGGCATGTAGCTTGGTTTTATTTTTGCTTTTGAGACGGGATCTGTTATATGTTCCAGGCTGGCCTTAAACTTGTGGCCATCCTCCTACCTCGCCTCCTGAGTCCTGGGATTACAGGCATATTGCCACCACACTAGGCTTGGGTATATAGTTTAGTGTGAAAGCCCTGGGTTCAACCCCCAGTACTACCCCCTCCCCAAAAAAGCCAGCATTACAATCCCAGTGGAGACCTGGTCCTGATGACTGTGCCCAGGAATGGCTTTTCTTACACCTAGTGCCTGGCCCATCCTCTCAGGTCTTGGAGACTCCCTACTGGTTTTTCCACCCTCCTGACAGCTCCTGGGTCCAGTCCCCTGGCTATGCACCTTCACTCTGTTCCCCTTCTCTGTTCTTAGAGCTCCCTGTGCAGTGTTCACCTCTCCTTAGTGTATCCTGAGCTAATCACATCTGATAGTTTTCACAGCCTTCTTCCTTGGTGAAACCTGTGCGTTCTCGAAAGTGGTGAGCACGGTGGGTCTCCCTTCAGCTCATGGCCAGTAGCCATGGACTGCTCCAGGCTGGACTCTTACCAACCTGTTTGTTTCCCACATGATTGGAGAATGTACTCTATGAGTTTCACCACCTGGAGCAGTGAAATGCACTGATTTATGGGCTAGATCAGTTTGAAACCAGGGATGGTATAAGAGGTCCGAAGAGGCTGTCACGGAAATTACAAACTGAGGGTAGGAGTGTCCCTGAGTTTGAGCTATTCTCATGTCTGAACTGTATGGTGACCAGGTCCGGAATCTTGTCCAGGTTCTTGTCCTAAACAAAGAAATGAGTGAGATCCAAAAGCAGCAGCAAGATCAAAGATTTGAAGAACAGTAAAGACACTCCACAGGGTAGAGAACTCATGGGCAAGACGGCTTGGTGTTGAGTTTTAAGCCTTAGGGCTGAGGGTGCGATTGATCTGAGGTGTCTTCCTGCCAGTGAGCAGCTTGACTCAGCCTCTCCATTGGGCAGTGGACTTTTTGACATTTTATAGTTCTTAGAGGAATTGATATCAAATCTACATAGTTAATGACATGGTAATTAGGGTTGGTGCAGAAATCCACAGGGTACCTGCCCTGGGACTTGTGGTATACAGTAGACCCTCGAGTTATGACCAGCCTGACATATGAACAACTTGGGTTACAACCGGAATTTTAGTTTTTACTTATGACAAAGTCTTGAGTTATGACCTGAATGACGGTTGCTTGTGCTTCCAGATGGTCTCAGATACAGATTTAACCCTTAAAGAGTTCTGGAAGGAACATGACAACATCCTTTCCTGTGTGGGGTCAATTGAGAAAACCTGGGCCAATGTCTCTCTAAGGACACTGAGATCTGCCTGGAAGAAAGTGTGGCCTAAAATTATACAGAAGAGACTTTGAAGGCAATTTACCAATCTGAGTTACAGCCAGCCCTCGGGAACAAACTGAATATAAGCTGTTACCTGGTTACCTTTTCCTGTTGTGTGGACATCTAGGCATGCTCAGAAGGTGGGCCCAATGCCAGAAAGTGGGCTACATGGCAGCCTCCTTTCTTTCTCCAGCTTTTTCCTCAGCTACTTCCTGCCTCTGTACCTCTAGTGTCTGAATGCCACGTTTACCAGCCCTGCCACTTTTTTATCTTCTCGATCCCCTGCTGAACAGTCACCTTCATACCTATTTACTCTGACTGCCATTCCCTGGCAGTCCCCACCTCTCCCCTCTTACTATCTGGTTCTAGACACTGGCCACTGTTGAGTATGTCATAGGCTGATACATATCCTTACTTATTGAAAACCTGTTCCTCGGTGAAGCAGGCTTGTTCCCTCCTGTGGTTGAGGTAGAGGTATGGAAGGTCCACCAGGGCCCGAGCCTCATAGCCTGTGCTTGCTCTGGGTAACAGCCAAGGAGACTCAGCAGCAGTCTGATCCTGGACAGAATCGGATCACAATCCCCACTCACCACTTTCCTCCTCTGAGCTTGCATTCAGGCTCACAGCATGTCTGGCATTGCCTCATTGGGCCTTACTTTGGTTTCATTTTCCCAACTCAGATTCAAGCTTAGTGTTTCCCTGGGGACTGCAGGGTCAGGGGATGAGATAATGGAGCCTTATGAAGAGGAGACTAGGTGACTGGTTTGTAGACCTCCGTGGTAGGTCCCCTGGGGCAGATCCTACACACATTCTCGTCTCAGCATTTCTTAGGAATATTCAGTCCCTCTGTGAACAGGAGACCTAACTGCTGCTGCATCAGGACAACTGGGGATTGTCACAGTGGTTGTTCCTCAGGCTGAGCTGTGGGCTCCACATATTAGCCTGACATCTAGGCCTCAAGCTTTGGCCCACAGAGATCTGTACTCTTTCCAAGATCTTACAGAGCAACGCAAATGAGGCTAAACTTGAATTTACATCTGTTCTCTACCTTCCTGCTGTTCCTTCTGAAGTCAAGACCCCCACAAAAGTCCTTCTGCTGATTCAGGCAAGCCAGGCCCAATTCTGTTCTCAGTCACCCCACTCAATGAACAGAATCTTCAGGATTAAGTGGTTTAAACTACTTGTCACACAATGCAGGGCATGGGAGCAGACACACAGAAGAGTTGGGAATTCAGCAGATCCCAGGTGGGCATCATGTGAGGTGAACAATGTCTGTGAAGAGCTGGTCTCTCTCTGGAAGCTCTCTCAGTCAAGACTGGGTCATGTCCATGCCCAAGCTGGGAGTGAGGAGATGAGGAAGATCTCATAATCCCTTCTAGGAAATAAGAGGAAGCCCTAAGCTTTCTGTGCCCTCAGCACAATGGATGACCAAGGTTTACTGTGTCAGAGACTATGGTTTCCACCAAAGGCAGTGGCAGGGACATGATACTCCCAAGGCCCAGGGCAGGTTGTAAAGTACAGCATAACTGTTGGGAGCTTTCACCGATCTGGTATTCAGTCTCCCCACTAGGACTAGTGGTACAGACATGTGACAGGCAGAATTCTAAGAGGGGCTGTCATTCCTCCGTCCTAATTCTTGAGACTGAATAGCATGGATTTTACTTCCATGATCAAGGTATGTTGTACGGCACAGCTGACCTTAAGGGAAATTATCCAGGTGGGCCTCATCTAATCCTGTGGTCCTTCTAAAGTAGACTTTCCTCTGGTTGTCAGCAGGAGAGGAAGTTGGAGCCTCAAGTTGTGGAACAGATTCTCCATACTGGCTGGCTTTAAGGTGGAGGTCCCACTGTAAAGGTCAGGGATGGCACCTTGGAGCTAAGTGTCCCTTATAGCCAGCAAGGAGATAGAGTGGCAACAAAGTGAATTCTGCCTCCAAGAGTTAGCTTGGAAACAGACCCATCCACCATTGCTCGGAACTGAGTCTAGCCAGCTCATAGGCATCACTAGAGAACATAGCCATGCTATGCCAGAATTCTGACTTCAGAACTTTGAGCTTGGAAATGGGTGTTGTGATGATAGTGGGTGTTTGTTATATAGCAATAGGCAACGTGCTACAGGCTGAACAGTCTTCATCTTTTTACTGAAGATCTGGATAGAAAGGCCTTTCTCCAAGGTAAATTTGTGGTAGGGAGTAAGGTTAGAACTTCAACAAAAGGGTTTCCCACAGTGATTACTTTTCTTTCTTTCTTTCTTTTTTTTTTTTGTACCAGGGATCGAACTCAGGTCCTTGTGCTTGCAAGG